ATTTAATAAATTTTTTATAATTTCTTAGTAAAAATTACATTATTAAATTATTAAATATCAGCTCATACTATATTTAATCGCTATAGTAAATATTTATTGATACATTACACTTATAAATCATAAAGTAATCATAAGTAGTGTGCCGATTACATCATAATAATTATTTCAAATTATCCTATTGTAATAAAGTTTAAAATATTCATTTCAATCTTGTGATTATTTTATTTTTCCGATCTAAAAAGAAAAAAAAATGATAATTTTATAACAGTTTTAATGATAAAAATGATAATCGATTTGAATAAATAATAAAAGACGAAATAAACTCGTGAAATTAAAAAATAATCACATTATCTGTGGGTTTTCCAGTTTTTCTCGTTATGTAATCGTTTAAACTAAAAATGAACTATTTCACAGAACTCCTAGTAAAATTTCAATACAAATTGATGAGTCACACTAAAGTGAAATTTATTCCAACTTTTAACCCAAAGTTCAGGGGAGGGCACGAAAGTTACTAAAAATCGAGTGACCACTTAATTTGTATGAGAATTTTGTGGGAAATACCATTGTGATGTTTATTTTTTATTAAAACAAAATTTAAAGTGGGGGAACCGGAAAACCCCCAATTTTGGAGATAGGAAATTTTAGTTATCGATTTCGCTATTTTTAGGTCCTACTGAATATCATCCTACTACTCGTTACTAACATTCTGTATATCTATACTAAATCAAAAGATAATACGTTATCATATGTAGCCTAATTAATCTAAATTATTAAGACAAAATAAATTGTTCATATTAAGAACTAAGTATTTTTGAAGCTATTTATGAAGTTTTATAACTTTCTGAAATATCCTTAATGCGAGAATAAAAAATGTACAAAATATATCAACTATCTTCGGTCGCCCCTGTATTATAATCGCAATTTTACTTATAAGTAATCAAGTCTATGTTGTATGTCTGTAGTACCCCGACGGCAATACAAAAAAAGTACACAGATTAATTAATATTTTTAATGACGAGTTCGTCGTTTTTGGCTTTTTCCGTTGGGTACACTGGTGAGCCCTAATCTCTCTAATTAGTGAACCACTAAAGGGGTAGGTTTAAGTCTCGTCAGCACGGTCTAGTTCAAAAGTAGCAGACTAAAGGGCGGCTCCTCGTCAGCTACCAGTAAAACTACCTTGTCACTATACCTAATTAAAGACGGTTAAGACCAAAAAACTAACCAGCACACACGCTAATTGTTAAGATCAACTAAATGACCAGCAGTCGAACCTTGTCTCTTGCCACACACACACATAATATTAATAACACGATGGATATAAAATATTCACGCTAAGTGCAGGTTTTTGAATAGTTATCTTTTATTTACGGAACAAAATAAACATAAAATTAAATTACAATATAAAAATGTAACACAATATAAATTGTTGTTGAAAATACAAAGTTACACGCACCAAATATCCTGACCCGTAACTAGACGTTTCTTAGTCAAAACGTTAATCTCCTTTACTTTTCATGTTTTACTTAATACATACTTTTTCCCACCATTGTTAATTTTCTAACCCTGCATTTTTCCTTTATATGACATTATATTACTTAAAAATTTAAAAATTGTTTAATACTGTGTTAACTCTTATACTATTTTAATATTAAAGTTATTTAATACTTTCTCAACTATTTACTTCAGCTACTTTGACAAGTTTTGTTACTTATGTTATACAGTATTTGATTTTCCATGAAAAAGTAAACAAACGTACTTGTCATTATGGAAGATATTTAAATTATTGTTCATTTTTTTTTATTTTTAAAATTTTTATTTTATAGGTTTTGCGAATATCGCAATACGACAGTATTGCAACCATCGCATAGTTTCATAGTTTTATTTTAAGTTTTTAGTTTGAACGAGTAGGTTTTATTTTTATATTTAAAAACATATCACTGTTATGATATTAAAAAGTATAATAAGTGAATATTTCACAGCTTTAAAATTAATACATTTTTGTCTGGAGCGCAGGTTTTTAGTTTTTTAATTTAAAATTACATTAAATGCACAATAATATTTTGTAATTCGTATATGAGATGATAACGTCATCCTGATAAAGTGTAGTGAAAATAAATATACAAAAAAAAATAACGTACATTATTTTTATAAAATTTTATATTTTAAAATTATTTTTTAATTTTAAAATTAAATTTTAGAAGAATATAACAAAATCGAGGCAGAAAAAATAGAAAAAACCAAAAAAGCTGAAGAAGACAAAAAGGCCGAAGAAGCCAAAAAAGCTGAAGAAGCCAAAAAAAATAAAAAATATAGAGCTCTAAAAATGTTTTTATGTAATAAATATGGAGAATCATCGAGTTTTGATGATTAATATGATTCCTTTGATTTATTTAAAGAAACGGCAATGAATATTTCTATAGCACAATTAATCACGGAAATATTTTTAATGATTTATTTTTGATTCAAAGCTCAATTTATAATAGCTTTATATTTACTTTTATTATAAAGTGATAATTGTAGTAATAATAATTTAACTGCCTTTAAAATTTCATCTTTATTTTAATTAATTGTGTTAGCTTTTATTATAGTACGTAATATTGTTTTGTAAAATAATTAACCTTGTGTTTCTATTATGATATTAAATATACTATTAATTTGAAATTAAATACTTATGTAGCGGTAATCATTATTTTTTTTAAATATTAAAATATTTTAGTACTGGAAAATATAAATAAAATCTGTGATATTGTAATGAATCAAAATAGAAGTTTCAAGAATATTCAAGAAACTTCTAGAATAATATTTCTACATAAATAATTATCAATTTTAAATACTTTTCTGACCGACAATTATTTTATTACTTTTTACAAATATATCACTTATTCGGAGCGAAGTTTATATTAATGTCACTCTTTTTAATTACCATAAGCGTATCTGTGGAGCCGAACAGACGGCAGCATTAAATAGTTTAATTCTTAAGAAAAACTAGCCTCTCTTCATCACCTTACAAACTAGTTTAATATAAAAGGGCTACTCAAATTAGCACATCAGGCACACTCTCATACTCTCACTTTCATTCTCACTTATTATTCCCCCATACTCTTACACTTTCATATTAAAAGTTAATAATGTAAAATTCATGAGACTTTTGTTAATTTGCATACAAAGCGTAAGGGATGAACTTAAAATGTATTAAAAGTTAATAATTCAAAAACAATGTGTAACTAATGAAAACCAAAAAAAAAAAATATATACAGAGTGTTTTTTTTATCATAACCCACTCAATTACTTGCAGAATAATAATAATTTAAACATTTTTTTTTTCATTATCTTTAGTTACACATTATTCTTGAATTTTTAACTATGTAATACTTTTTAAGTTCATCCCTTATGCCTTGGAGGGGGGTCAACTTTGTTTTTTTAAATGGTAACACATATTTTTAATTTAATAAAATGTTTGAGTTTTTAATTTAATAGTAAATGGCATTTGAATTTTTAATATAACTTAATTCGTTTATTAGATATAATCATTTAAAGTTTCAAATTTTTGAATTAATATACAGGTATAATACACAAGGGATTACAAATACAGGTAGTTAATTGGTTTTTTATAACATCGATATTAGCAGGTACACAGCATTGTTATTATCAATTGTAGTAAGGCACATTGTTATGAGTTTATAAATACACTAACTGACAATACAGAAAGTATATCTATTGATAATCATAATTGATAATAAACAATCCGTGACTGAGACAGCAATGTCATAAAAATCCAATTAGCTACCTGTATTTACAATCCCATGTGTATTATACATGTATATTAACTCAAAATTTTGAAACTTTAAATGTTTATATCTAATAAGCTAATAAAGTTATATTAAAAATTCAAATGCCATTTACTATTAAATTAAAAACTCAAACATTTTATTAAATTAAAAATATGTGTTACCGTTTAAAAAAACAAAGTTGACCCCCCTCCAAGGCATAAGGGATGAACTTAAAAAGTATTACATAGTTAAAAATTCAAGAATAATGTGTAACTAAAGATAATAAAAAAAAAAATGTTTAAATTATTATTATTCTGCAAGTAATTGAGTGGGTTATGATAAAAAACACACCCTGTATATATAAAGTGATAAAAAAAAATTATATTCTGATTATTGTTATTATTCCTTCAAACTCTCAAAAATTTGTTTAAACCAAGTAATTATTCTTTTTATTTTAATTAAAATTTTTATAAATTTTATTTAACTTAAGTTTTATTATCAGTTAATTTAGTGTTTAAAAATCTAATTTTTGTAAGTTTTAACAAAAAAACAAATTTTAATTTATTAATTATTCAGTAAAATTTTATTTTATTACAGTTTATGAGCCTTACTAAAATTTGGTTGAGTTTAAAATGTTCACAGTGGATTCTTAACACATTTAGTTTTTGGTGCTTAATAATTTTAATTAGTTTGAAATATAAAACACGTTTTATTGTATCTACTAGAGCTCAACGATTGTACTACTTCAATATAAGCATTATTTTTGCAATGACATATTTATTAACGATAAGACACACCTTTCTTAGGAAACTATTGAAAATTTTGTATATTCGAATGTTTGATTCGAAAAACTATAATAATATGAACATGAATAATTTTTTTTTCGTTAATTCAAAGATAAAAAAATCATAAGTTTAATGGAAACCTCTATTTTTAATTTGATGATAATTTTATATTGTTCTTAAAATATTAGCTATGTAATTATTTTAAGATTGATTTCTTATGCCTTGTCAGAGTGTCATTTTTTTTTTCAAATAAAAACAAATATATTGCATTTAATAAAATGATTAAGGATTATTTTTAATAGTAAATGGGTATTTAAATTTTTATTCTAACTTCAATCATTTATAGACACTTTAAAGTTTCAAATTTTTTTTTAAAAATACATGTTTATTATTCTAACTGATAGCTAATTGTTTTTATCACTTTTTACGGTAATTTTTCCTGTTAATGGGTTAAATAAAAATAAAATTGTAATAAAAAAGATTAAAGAATTTTGAGTTTTTTGACGCATATATCAACAAAATCAAAAGCCCACTGATAGCTGCAAATTATCATAGACAAAGAAAAATAAAAGAACTAATTTAAAGAAATTCCAATTAGGTATTGCATTATCTCCCCTTTCTATCACTAAAAAATTTAATTCATTTATGAGGATTACAAATGAAGTATCCACAGCTCCCATTGAAAAACCAAAATAAAATAAATATTATGGACTCAATAAAAGTCTGCAATTATATATTTTCTTATTTATTTTCATTGTATTATCCATTTATTTAATAGCGTAGAAAAGGAAGAACTCAAGGGACCATAACCTCCTTTGGTCATTTATTATTGTTAACAGTATTGATCTTTGGTGCTAGTTAGACTATGTGAAAAGTTAAAAAAATAAAACAAGTCCCCGTAAGCAAAAACTCGTAAACACTATCAATTAACGTTTTTCTTCACATAAAATGTTATCAATTTATTATAACTTTTAAATTCGCCTTCATACTTCAACAGTTCTATACATTTATTCATTTTTGTCGGAGCTTATAAATGTAAAATTTAGTTTAAGTCATTTTTGACGGGGTTTGTAACAATTTTAAGTTATCGTGGTTTCCTATCCCAATCGTTCATTCCTCGTCTTATTTACTATGTGATTTTCTTTAGTTATATTTATTGAAATAAAAAAATTAATTCACTAATCTGTGTCTAAAGGTTATAGTATAGTTGTAATTAAAAATTGCAACAGTAATTAGCGTAGAGAAAATAATATAGTATAAGATAGAGGCGTTTAGTAATAAGAAGTGTTCGACTTAATAAGTTTAACTATACATTATGAGCAGTAGACTGTTATTACTGACTAAATTCGAAAAGTTCGTTAGAGAGCATAAAAAGAGATGTTTACATGCAAGTCAAATTTAAAGCACAGAAGATTGAACAGGGGTGAACAGAATTCAAACAAATACTGAGTGTAATTGAAACAGAAACAAACGGAAAAGGAGCGGAAAGAGATTATTTTTTGAAAATATATTTTTTAAGGTAGCAGTCGATGCGGAAAACTTTATTTAAACGATGCTCCAGGTAAAAAAAATATAGTTAAACCAAGATACTCGGTGTGAAATATATCAAACAATGAGTTATTGGGGGTCGTATTTAATAAGAAAAGAGGTATTTTTACTTTAAGAAACATTAACATTAATATTAGAAAGAATCTACTAAAAACCTACGTCATATTAGATGAATGCGAAACATGGACAATTGCAAGAGAAGAAATGAGAAGAATAGAAGCATTCGAAATTTGGTGCTACAGGAGGATAAAAAAGATAATTTGGACTGATAGAATTATTAATGAAAGAGTTTTAGAAAGGGTATCTAAGAAGAAATTAATATGGAAAGTATATAAAAAAGGCGAAATGAATTAATAGGTCTTATTTTACGACGGGTTGCTATTATTAATCTGATAAGGAATAATGGATGGAAAAAATCATAGAGGAAGACTTAGATTGAAATATATAAGTCAGATAATAGAATATCAAGGATATAACTCATATCAAAAGTTCAAGAGAAAGGCTAGTGATAGAGAAACATGGAAGTTGCTGCAAACCAATCATTAGATTGAATATTACAGAAGAAGAAAAATAAATTTGAAATTGACTTGTATTTTCAAATTTTAATTGAAAATAGGGTAACACCAGTCATTCCAGAAGTGACTGCTATTACTCCATTAATTTTGATCGGTATTTCCCTTTTTTACAAGTAATGAGAAAATATTTTTAATCGATAAACTATTATACAATTAGGTAGACAATTTGAATATAGAATAATAATGTTTTGTTTTATACGTACATATATAAATTAGAAATATATAACAATTTGCTTACCTTAAATTAAATTTATTGAAACAATTTTATTAAGATAAATAAATTTTGACAACTATTTTTACACATTTTAACGTGAAAACGATTTTTGATAATATAGTTCTAATAAAAATAAGGGTTTTTTATAATTCTTAATTTGTACGTATGGTCAACATAATTTTAGATGCATGGGATTATTAAATAATGAAGTGACCTGTATTATCCACTAACTATAGTTCTCCTAGTCTCCACTATTATTCCAATAATTGGATCAAATCTCAAATAACTATACACTTGTCTTAGAGTTAAAAATGTGGGTGGAGTAACAGAAAATTTTAGGGTAAGAATAGGAGTGCACCCAGCTTTTAATTTAAACCATTACATATATTTTATAGTAATGAATGAAATTACTAAAGAAATACATATAAAGCTACCGTTTACCTTTTATTTATCAATAGTAGTAAACTGGACGTCGTCTGTGATATAAAAAATGGTATTATCAAAACGTAATAAATACAGTTCATTTATCGAAAATGAATGAACGCAGCGCCCGGTGGTATTCAAGCGAGTTCTTTAGCGTTCGTGGTTTTATTTTGTCTTAAAACTTTGGCTATGTCGAGGATAAGGAATAAGGTGAATGGACTGTATGTTTGAATGTAAAATGAATTTTACAATATATAATTATAAAAACTAATTG